CGCACGAAAGTGCATGGTTAATGTTTGTTCAAACTGAAACTGAAACTTATTTCAGGGCGTGTGAATGCAAAACACTTAGAATGGATTCTCAGTGAGTGTACTTTGCTCATACCTGAGCTAACCCTACAACATTGGCCAAATGCCCTGAGAAAACACTCCTACACTGGAATTTTTCTCATACTACAGGCTCAAATTTATCTCTTCATTTTGTCAATACATATCCATTGTACAAATTCGTACACTGCTCAGAATTCACACGTTTGGGCTGGACACAAAGCATTCCTTGACCCGCCTTGTCTACATTAAGTAGTATATGAATGACTGTGTAAAAATTGTTTGAACAGTGCGCTTTTGACTTTCCAGTCCTGATCACACTTCGACAAGGCTCCTCTCTCTCTCTCTGTTCATTTGTGTCGTTTGATCTGCTATACATATAATTGTATGCTTACTTGTATCATAACAAATGGACTGTCGTGGCCCGGTGGTAACGTCTCCAAATGATCACTCCAAGAGGACGTGCATTTGAATCTCACCCCACCGCCACTACCAACACCTGACCTTCTACACTGTGTGTGACAGCCCTTTAATTGACCCCTCACATCTTGCTGAAAACTGTATATTTATATATTCAATAAAAGGCAGTAAAAATGAAAAAAGAAAGAAAAGGAACTCGAGTTGTGAATCACAAAGCACCACTTTAGTTACCATCGTCCCGAAATTGTATCTTATGTGTAATTTATCTGCATCTGAGGTGGGTCTCCTTGTCCAAAGGTTGTAGCACCGGGTATTATCGATTATTTTCTCTATGCATAATACTATTCAATGTTTTCTATCCGTGCGTGCAAACACATACACACACATGCAAAGTTCTCTCATCTGGATGCAATTTTCTTCAATCTCTTCTTTTGGCTTCATTGTGCCCGGTACAAGAGCGCGAGATCGCGGGGTGGGGGCAGGGGAGAGGAGAAGTTCTCCATGGGGATTGGATTGGCGTGCAGCGACCGGTAGCAGCATCTGTCTTTCATCACGGACAAAACGAGCGCAAACATGTCTTCCCAATTGCCCTAATCGAACCGAACGAGAAAGTGGGCTGCACATCGACGCGCACAAACAATTCCCATTGGTTCGCAATACCCATGTCCGCGATAGTGCATGGTGCAACACACTTGCCGTCCCCTATCGCAATCATGGTGCCCTGGAGTGGACGCACACACACACAGGCACGCGCGCAGTACGTGACTAGTGGTGCTATGGTGCCGAAAATTACGATTGGTCAGCTGGTCATCCAGTTCGTCCGAATTGGCGAGATGGGTTAGGTAGCATAAATCCGAGCATTGACTACGAAAGAAACAGAATTATGTATTTCGAATCTTCTGTCACAACGGCGGATAAGATATCCAAAAATGTCGACTACTCACAGCTTCATCCAGTCATGACAGATCCAAATACACAGCCAATACCCGTGCCGTATATCTCATGGCGGCACAAAACCACGGATGATGCGTTTTGGACTGAACCGTTATCAGTCCCCAGTACGGGTGCTACTTGTCTACCTACGTTCTGGGAATATGCCGGTCTATTCACCACGAACGGTCCATCCAACTGGTACTCTATGACCGATGGTATTGAGTCCGTGGAACAGCAATTATCCTCCTCGTCATCCTCTTCACCCACACTACCATCTCATACGATAACCCAACCCATGCAAACTGGATCCGTGATTGAGGATCGATCTTATTTGACTCAACTTGAGAATGGAGAATCTATCTACAAGTATTCAGTAGATGATGCTTCATCCACAGTGTTGGATTATACTACCACTTCCGTTTATCGGTCAGATCCGAATCGAACACTATTCCACTCGCAGAACGGTCTGATCAATCGAATGATCCCAGATCCGAGACAATCGGCTGCTCTGATGGCGTATTTGAATGTGGATAAAGGATTAGGAATAAAAGGGCGATCGAAAGGCTTGGATTTGGACGGTAAGTGTGTGTTATTTCTTATTGATGCAACTATTAAAACTACGTAAAATGAATTTCGCAATCGATTCACCGCCTGATTTCGATAAGTGGGTTCACCAACTCCCCATGTTACATGTCTCATGTTTTTTATCATCTGGTCTCAAATATGTAGTAGATAAAAATTCAGACAGTGCATTTAATTTACACGGGGTTATGAATCGACAGCCAATCAATTATGCTTCAGACATATGTATCGATATCCAGGGGTAATTGATTGCTTTCTGGATTATGCATTGTCTACGAGAACCACTTAAGTACCAATTGTAAAGAAATTCAGTGGAGTAAGAAACACTTAACTCATGACCATGGCTGACTATCACTAAAACCCATACCCGGAGCAAACATGAATTGGCAATTCGGTTTAGCCCCCGGTATGAGCTGATTGACACAGTGGTGTAAGACACACCCAGACCTTCCGTGCGATAGATCCGGAGTTCAAAGCCTGTACGATGCAGCGGTGGATATATCCTACTGACGAGCTCTGGGGAGAACGAAACTCGAGTCTAGTGCGTCCATGTATACGGTTGACTAGAAGAACTGGGGATTCTGTGTGAAGATGAAATCCGAAAGATGGCCAGTTCAAATTAAAATCGATTATCCCACACCACCACTGGATTTTATTCGACGTAATGCTCAACGCAATACATCGTGCGCACACCGAAAAAAAACCCAGGTCCAGTAAATCAAACTTGGTTAGTTTGTTGTTGTTTAAATGATGAAACTATGGTTCTCAAAATAAATCACTTTTATCTAATAGTTTTCTACAGTTTAGCGGTAGGATTGCTGTATAAATAATAAGGAACGATCACAACTACACAGAAAGAACTCTGAAGGTGTCGGGATTCTGTGTGGAATATTAAAGTAAATCAATTGTATACATTGTAGGCTATCATAAGGTGAGTAAGACGCTCAATTGTGAATCAGACCGACGAGATGAGTACTGTGAGAGTACGGTGTGTGTGTTTGTGTGTTTCAGTGTATGTCAACCGTATTGTTGTCTATAGACCAAGGAATCAGAATTACCATTGGAGTCCTATCGGGAGGGGGGAACCTAATCTGCGTGCGCGCGCGCGAGACAGATCAAATTCAACGAGTGAATTCTCATGCCTTTCCGGATTGCAGTTGTTCTAGATGTCATTTGAACTAGAGGGAAGCGGAGGAACACAAATATAACCGATTGTACTATCTTATCGGGTATGGCTTAGCCCGCATTAAAGGATTGATGTAGCTCCTACGATGATGGTCAGATGATCAGTTTGAAAATTCCCATTTCCTAGCAATATCGCTGTCCCCGGTTTGTATCTGTTTTTACTCAGTTACGACACGTCCGTAATGGACAGAGATACGATCCAATTTTTAACCGTATGCCACTGCTGAGCACCCGTGAAAATCTGCTTAACGCGTGGAACTAGATCCCCCTTATCTCGATAGAGTGGATGCAACTAATATTCGACTGGCCTCAAGCTTATTAACTCTTTGATTTATTGATAAACCATGCAAGCCAAATGGTAGAGTATAAAGTATTGGGTATGATATGATTGGTCATACGGGTGTTAGAACACCCATGAGTTCAGAAATGGTGGATACACTGGGGCGATAAAACTTGAAGTTGAGTGTAATAGGTGGAAGTATGCAATCTATTCCTAGTCAATGAGATGGAACTCTGTGTTGCCGGGCCATTCGACTGATCATTGAACCGTCTAGACAGGAGACATGAAATAGTTCATGTGTAGCCCGGAGGTGTTATTACCCAACCAGATTCAGTTTCAGTCTGTGCAACCATCAACCATGCAATTTGGTTACTGCCATTTAGCTGCCGATTTGGATTACGCAGTTGCAGAAAGTCGGACGAGTTGAAGTAGAGGCGAAGAGAAAATGGATAATTTCAGTAGGTAGAGGTGTCAAGGAAATTGCAAGAGTATACACGAACGCCATCGTTTGTGACACTCATTTATATCATGCATTTCAACACGATCATCGCGATCTCGAGGTTCCCATCCAAAAGACCTAACGGGACCTATGTGACCGAGTCTCCTGGTTTTCATACTCTCTGCCCACAAGTAGTTAGATAAACACAGATTCGTCCCGTACAGTATACTAGCCACCCATCACAGAAAAAGTTTAAAGTAGTTCCTGATACGTCTGTGACTTCGCCCTAACCAAATCATATCTTCATGCTGGGTTATTCAGGATCAGCAGATCGATGACCAGACTGAATACCTGTGCACTGGTGGGACAGAAAACAGACCGTATTTACGACCTGAGAGAAACTGACAATTCCCAAACTCTTACTTCAACTTTATTTTGCTTGTTTGAATGTGCAATTAATTTGATAGAAATTTGACGGAACCAAACGTGGTATCTAGTACACAGCTTCTTATGATTACTAATAAATTAGCACTAAGCTAGAACTCCGTAATTCTCCGGCTCGAAAATTAAAACACAAATGAGCAACAGTCTAACTTTCTGTTGAACCCCAACCCTGTCCAGTGTTCCGTTTCTACACGCGTCCACTCGGTCGCTTGAAGTAGTGAATCGCTACTTGTTTACCACTTCACTTAGTAACTCGTGCCAGTTTTTCTCGCATGTTATGAGACGTGTATGCATGCATGAGTGCATATCCACGCACACACACACACACACGATCAGAATGATGAGCGTAACTTTTTGACAAGGAAGCGTTTTTTTGTTGTTGTTGTTTATTTTGAACTCTGTGATGCTCGAGTGCTATGTTCGCGTGGTGAATAAACATGATGGATGAATAATAATAGTGTGAAACCATTTCACAGTTATTCGAGCCACCTTGACTACTTGTTGTTGTTGCTGCTGCTGCTGCTGCTGCTGGTGGTGGTGGTGGTGGTTCTGGTGGTGGTGGTGGTGG